TTTGCCACAGATGTTTCCTAGCATGCACCTTAATGCTTGGAGACCTGCCTCTTCCAAACCGGTACAGTGCTTCTAAGAAAAATTACTTTCATGCGCTATATACTACACGATTTGTTCAGTAACCATAATTTAAATTCAGATCATTACTGTAACGCCGACAATGAGCTTTTGTATCATTTTGGGGAGTGCTAAAGCTTTAGTGCGATGTAACAAGCCTTACAGATAATTAACAGAGGACTTATACAAGTTTTTTCTAACATGATGCATCTTCGCAGATGTGAAAAGGAGACCGAATGTCATTTTGAGATATACTTATTAGACAAACATCTTGAGTGGATACCTATTCCACCAAATGAGCTTGCCCCTTGACCAGAAACAACATATCACCAAAAAAGTGCTATACTCACTAGCAGGTTGTGCCTTAGTATACTGGAAACGAAGGCTGGAGTAATTGTAGTCAGCGCCTGGAACCAATGCTCACAAAGACTATAAAAATGAGAAAAAATTAAAACACTCACCGATGGGAGCAAAATTCTGGCATTCCATGCATGTACTGGATACAGTCGATGAAGATGTACTAGCAAGAGCATGTCCACCGGTTAGCATCTGCAACACAAGCATGTACCATCTGCACAGAAAACTTCCAACACTTCAGCTTTAAAACAAAATTAATTCTCTCGATAAAACTGAAAAGATGAAAAAAGAACCTACAGGGCGAACTACTGTGTAACTGTCATTTGAGACCATTTTCGTTTGTGATGGTTTGCTGGAAAGAAATACTTCAATTCCTACTCGTATGAATTATTCGTTTAGTGAAAGCACATATTTAATTATTGCGAAGGAAAGATATGACAATCGATTCACGAATTGGTACGAAGATAGGAACTGAAAGAACTCATGAAAGTTGAGGTTTGTCGGAACCAGTGAGAGATGCTTATTAGTACCAGAGACATTATAGCATCACGTTTACTTTGATTTTCTATTTTTCTAAAGTCCCTTCAATTTAAAAACGATGTTGAAACCTCGCTGCTTCTTATGTTATTCTTTCGCAGAAGATAATTTTATGCTGTTATCATTAGATCCACTTAGAAAATTATTCGCTTAGAAATTGGTAAAAGCGAGATTTACCAGATTTTCCCAGATACAGTTTCTTGTGGATACTCTCTTCTTTCACGTTTCCTCTCGGCTCTCTTTCTTGCTCTTGCTAGTAAATCAATGTACGAACGGGGTGTAGAAGGATCCACTTCTTCCTCATCGCTAGTCAAGCTAAAAAATTGGCAAATGAGTGAAGTAATTTTTCAAATCCCGTCAAAAAGACAGGTCATGTATATGGCGCTAAAAACGTACCCTTCATCGCTAGAAGCTTCAAAAATGGATGAGATGGACGAAGCTTGTTTGCTGTTTTTGTTCAAAGGCGACCGCTTAGCTTTCGATGTAACAACGTTATTCTTGAAACATAAATACCGTCTGAGGACAAGTATGACAAAATGATTTAGTCAAAAATAGAAACTTACCTTTTTGCGCACAAATTTTTCTCCATTTCGAACAGGAACGTTATTATTAGCCGGGGACCAGTCAACAGGTTTTTTGGTTTTCTTTTCTGAAATAAGTTGTAGAGCAATGTGACATTAGCATGCAATATTAACTTTACCTCTTTTTGAATGACGAACTTTCGGGGTTTCACTCCGTGGGGGTGTGTCAGCTCCCTTATTTAATGGACCAACGATCGATTTTTCGGTTATCCATTCGTCGTAACGTTTATTCCAACCTTTGTAATGCACATAATACGTTTCTGACAATCGATTCAGATCCATGATCTGGAAATTCAAAGGGAAATTGTTTATGTATTCAATCACTACACTCAAGCCCCAAAAAACAAGGAAAAATATATAAGTAAATCCACCGTAACAAGGCGACTGTGTGCGAGAAAACTACGAACGAGTCATTATCCTTGCCTTCACGACGCATTCGGTCTTTGTTTAGGGATCTGTCACACGCTGTGCAAAATTCGATATACATTTGGTAGACAGATTTTTGCTTCGGAAAATATCAATTTTTGACAGCGAATGACCTCCTAGTTTCTATTTAATGCTTCCGTATTTGAAGAAAAGACACGGCATA